CGACAAGCTGCTCTCTGCTCCAGAGCCCTGGCGGGAAGTCACTCTTTGTCCAGCCATGTTTGGGCATTTGGGAAGAAGCTCTGCAGCCAGGTACACGTTCTGTGGGTCATGGAATAATTGATCAGGCTGTTCGAAGAGAGAGATGACAGCAGACCAGGACTACTTTCCAGAGAGTATTGCAAGCAAGATAATAACAGCTAACATTTGAGTACTCACCATGTGCTGCACCATTCCAAGTTCCGTACTTGTGTTGTGTTGTTTAATCCTCAAAACAGACGCTATGAAATTTAAAACTATGGACCAAGAGCAGTTTAGTGGATACCAGGGGAAAGGTGGGGTGGGGGGTGGGCACAAAGGGTGAAGTGGTGCACCTACAACATGACTGACAAACATTAATGTACAATTGAAATTTCACAAGATTGTAACCTATCAATAACTCAATAAAAAAAAAAAGAAAAAGAAAATGAGTCAAGAAAAAAAAAAAACAAACCCTATGAGGCAGGTACTGTTGTGCCCACTTTATAAATTAGAAACCGAGGTGCAGATGCGATGCAGTAACTTGAACCATTAGTTACACATCTAGCAGGTGCTGGAGTCACGATTTGAATCTAGTTGCAGAACCCATACTCTCACCTCTAGGCTTGGCTGTCTTTTAGGATTCTGAGAAGGAAGCCCTGCCCCTGGGCCCTGCAGTGGGGGGAATAGGAGTGCCTCCCTGCAGGAAACTTCCTGTGCTTGTGGGTAGTCTGACTGAGCTCTGCCTGTTGTCATCTTGTCTGCCTCTGTTCTTCAGGGACTCACCTAGGTTAGCCCAGGCCCTGCTGGGCAATTCTCCCTGTGAGTCTGCCACCTGAGGGCACATATTGACTTCACAACCTTTAGCCAGAAGCTAGGGTGAGCCTCTGAGGGCTGTCTCTCTTCCCTCTGTGTTCAGAGAACACAGGCTTCTATAGAACAATTTCCTAAGACATCTCTTCCTTTTATCCTCATTGTCTACTCCTCTAATTGAAGCCTCAGGATAGGACTCTTTAAAGCTTAATGTGACCATATTTCTGACCAGCTGCAACACTTAGGATGCTTTTATTTACAAGTAACAGGAAACCCAATTCAAATTGACTCCACATAAAAGGGATGTGTTGGCTCACGTAATGGGGAAATCCAGGGGAGGTACTGCTCCAGGACTGTTGGTTGAGGACCTAGTGTCCTGCCATCTCACTTCTCAGTGCTCTTTTCAGGTTGGATATCCTGGTGGTCACAGGGTTGTAGCCAGTATCATTTAAGGCTCTGCTCCTAAGTCACTCATAGTAAAGGCCAGCTTCTTTACAAGGCCCTGCGTGGTCTGCTTTTAGCCCACATCATCTTGTCTCCCTCAACCTTATTCTAATTTCAATTTCAGTGGAGGCATACAGGCCTCCTTGCTATTTAATGACTTCAAATTCCACTTGTTCATTGGTGATATATAGGAAAGCAACGGACTTTTTTATATTAACTTTGTATCTTACAACCTTGATATAATCACTTAGTTCCAGTTTTTGTTTTTTTGTCAGTTCTTTGGGATTTTCTACATAAACAATCATGTCTTTGCAAACAAAGACAGTTTTATTTCTTCCTTTCCAATCTGTATTTTATTTCCTTTTTTTTTGTCTTATTGTACTAGCTAGGATATCTAGTACAATGTTGAATAGGAGTATTGAGAGGGAACATCCTTGTTCCTGATCTTAAGGAGAAAGCATCCAATTCTCACCATTAAGTATGAAGTTAGTTGTAGGGTTTTCGTAGATGTCCTATATCAAGTTGAGGAAGTTCCCCTCTATTCCTAGTTTTCTGAGAGTTTTTATCATGAATGAGTGTTGGATTTTGTCAAATGCTTTTTCTGCTTTAGTTGATAGATGATTTTTCTTCTTTAGCCTGTTCATATGGTAGATTACATTAATTGATTTTTTTTTAAATGTTGAACCAGCCTTGTATACCTGGAATAAATCCCACTTGGTCATGGTATAATAATTCTTTTTATGTGTTGTTGGATTCAGTCTGCTAATATTTTTACGTTTGTGTTCATGAGAGAGATTAGTCTGTAATTTTCCTTTCTCGTAATGTCTTCATCTGATTTTGGTGTTAGGATAATGCTGGTCTTGTGGGATGGGTTAGGAAGTGTTCCCTGTGCCTGTTTCCGGACCACTGACGGCCTGCTCTTTGAGTCTTTTCACTTGCTGTCCCCTTGCCTGGAACACTCTTCCAGATCTCTGCATGTTTCATGCTCTCACTCCTTTCAGGTCTTTGCTCAAATGTCCTTTTCTCAGTGAGCCATTCTCTGACCACAGACTATTAAAATTGCAAGTGTCCCCTTCCCTCATTCTTACTGTCCCCCTTCCCTGCTTTATTTTTTCCATAGCACTAATCACCTCCTAAAATAGTATATAACTTACTTGTTTTCTGTCCTACCCAGTAGAATGTTGCTCTGTGAGGGTGGGGGTTTTTGTCTTTTTTTGTTTGTTGTCATCTCCATTCTCCCTAGAATGGTGCCTGGAACATAGTAGATGCTCAAATATTTGTTGATAAATGAATTTAAACCATGACTAATAATATGTTTGTAGCCGAGAGAATGTGCAGAAATGAGTTGTTCTATTTTTATATCTGAGGAAGGCTCTGTTCCCAGGATCAGAGGAAAGTAAATATTGATAGCTTTTATGAAATTCAGGAAGCATTTGGCCGTATTTTGCTAATCAACTGTATGACCTTGGCTAAATCAACTCATTTCTTTGGGCCTTGGTTTCTTAATCTTAAAATGAGTATTTTTGTAAGTTTGCCTAAGGTCTTTTCTAGAGTTCTTGTTCATTGAACTTTGTTTCCCAGTGCAGAGTGTTTTTAACAGGAAGGGAGCTTAGGGACCCTGAAGTCTTATGTTCGTTTGCCAGTAGATTAACTTTTGCCTGTAAAGAGCCCATGCTTGCCAGCCGATAGGTGCAGCCCACTGTCCTCTCTGACTGTATCCACTCTGATGCTCATTCGCGAGAGGGGCCTTGGTGGCACTTCTGACATGGTGCTGGAGAGCCAGCTGAACCTACTTCTAAATATCCGTGATATCAGGCAGGTGCTTTTACCTCCCTAAGCTTCAATTTCCCCATCTGTAAAATGGGAATGATACACAGAGGTTGTTGTTAGGATTAAATGAGATGTTGTGGTTTCCTTGCACAGAAGTACTTAAAGTCAATTGACTCTGATTGCTTACCCTACCCCACACCTGCTCTGTGATGCATCTTGATTCCACATCAGAATCACTTGGAGAGTGTTTTTAAAAATCCTGATGCCCTCAGAAACAGTATACTAAGTGAAAGAAGCCAGACGCAAAAGGTCACATATTATATGATTGCATGTATATGAAATGTCCATAGTAGATAAATCCATAGAGACAGATGCAGATTAGTGGTTGCCAGGCGTTGAGGGGCAGGGACCTGGGACTGGGGAGAAACTGCTCACTGGTAAGGGGTTTCACTTCGGAGTGATGGGAGTGTTTTGGAACGAGGTAGAGCTAATTGCAGAACATTGTGAATGTACTACATGCCTCTGGATTGTTCTTTTTTTGCAGCTTTATTGAAGATTAGTTGTACAACGAACTGCACATATTTAAATTGTATAATTTGATGAGATGTGACATATGTATATACCCAGGTATTACTGCAATCAAGATAGTAAACATATCCATTACCTCCCAGACTTTCCTCATGCCTCTTTTTAATTCTTCCTTCCTACCCTTCCCCTCCCTTTCATCCCCAGGCAACCACTATTCTCCTTTCTGTTACTATAGATTAGTTTTCATTTTCTAGAATTTTATATAAATGGAATTGTGCTGTATGTATGAGTTTTTATTTAGCTCCTTTAGGCATACTTTCTTTGAGATTCACTTATGTTGCTGCATATATTAACAATGCATACTTTTATTGCTGAAAAATATTCCATTGTATGGATACACCACAAATTATCCATTCACCTGTTGAAGGACATTTGGGCAGTCACAACAAAAGCTGTATGGGCAGTCATGTACAAGTCTCTGTGGACATATGTTATCTTTGAGTAAATATCCAGGAGTGGAATGGCTAGGTCATAGGATAAATGTATGCTTAAGCACTTCTTAACATCTAAAAAGACATGATCAGTTATTTGAAGTGCTACAGATATATTTGATAAGATAGAAGAAACAACTGGAGTTTTGCAACTGTGAGGCTATAGTTAAGTTTGAAAACTGATCTCAAAAAAGTGGTAGGTGGGAAGTTTTTTAGAATGGAATTGGGAAAATCTGTGAAGTGAGAATTTTGGATGGTGAGTCTTGCTAACAAGGAGTTTTGCTGTGAGGAGTAGCAGATAAAGTTGTGGTATTTGGAAATTGTGAATTGCTCATTTTCAAATGGCTAATTTTATATTTTGTGAATTGTACCTCAATTACATAGAAAAGGAGAATCAAACCATATCCTGTCACCCAGGTCACACCTCAAGCCAATTAAATCAGAATCTCTGTGAGTGGGACCTGGGCATTCACTTTTTAAAAATCTCCCTTGATGATTGCAATATGTAGCCAGCATTGAGGAACAGTGATCTAAAGAGGGTTGGCAAACTTTTTCTGTGAAGGGCCACACAATAAATACTTTCAGCTTTAAGTGCCATAAGGTTGTGTCTTCCCTGTTCAACTCTACCTTTGAAACGTGAAGGCTGCCATAGTCAACATGTAATGAATGAGGATGTTATGTCTCAGTAAAACTTATTTACAACAACAGGCAGTGGGCCAGAGTTTGCCTACCCCTGGTTAAAAGGCTTAGTGATGGAGGAAAGGTTCCAGACCTCTAAGGGGCATGGAAATTGACCTCCCGGGCAGAATCAGACCTGAAACTCTGTTCTATTACCCATTTTAGTTCTCATTGGACATGCTTAATCACTTACTAATAAATATCTCAGTGTTGAACACAAAACGTTAGAATGCCAATACTTAAACTTATATTTAATTCTAGCTGCAAAAGACAAGGAAAAGAATAAAGAGAAGAAATTCAAAGAGTTCGTGAGAGTGAAGCCAAAGAAGAAAAAGAAAAAGAAAAAGAAAACCAAACTTGGTAATTTTTCCCTGGAGTTGTTACACTTGGGTTTCCTTACCATGGGTGGGGAGGGGTTGGTTTCTCCCTGGTCCTGGCCTCTGAGCCTGGAAGGGCCAGCAGGCCTTTACTGGTGCTTGAGGGCTCAGCCTAGTATGGGCTCTGGCAGGGGAGGAGCCCACTCAGCCAGGTGTTTCCAAGCCCGGCTGGCATTTATAAAACCTCCCTCTCTTGATGCACTGGCCACTGTGTCCTGTTACAGGGCAGAGTGCATGAAAGTATCATAATAGGCGAGGATATGCAGATAAACGCCTGTATTTGTTTGCACACATGACTCTTAAACACACATCTCTGAACCCTTTCAAGAAAAGATTCACTTCTTGAAAAGTGTGTGTCTAGCCCCCACAAAAATTTTTAGTTGAATTGCTCCCAAGCCTTTGAGCTGTTTGAACAGCACAGCTGTTGGTTGGATGGGATTGCTTAGGGAATGCTCTCATGGTGTCTGGGGTTGCTAATTCCTTCCTGATCCTGTTCTTCCAGAATGCCCCTGCAGTGAGGAGATCAGTGACACCTCCCAGGAACCTTCCCCACCCAAGGCATTTGTTGTCACCAGGTGTGGGTCCTCACACAAGCCTGGGGTCCATATGAGCCCACAGCTCCATGGCTCGGAATCTGGAAACCACAAAGGGAAAGTGAAAGTATCCGGTAAGGTGGCTCTCTGCTGACTTGATCATTTGTACAGCACTACAGTCTGAGAAGGCTGAATCTATGTTGATATTGTAATCTGCTCCCCAGGCCCTCTGCAAGTATAATCTCTTACATTTTAAAAATAAGAAGTATATCAGGCCGGCGCAGCGGTTAAGTGCGCATGTTCTGCTTCTCGGTGGCCTGGGGTTCACTGGTTCGGATCCCGGGTGTGGATGTGGCACTGCTTGGCATGCCATGCTGTCATAGGCGTCCCACATATAAAGTAGAGCAAGATGGGCACGGATGTTAGCTCAGGGCCAGGCTTCCTCAGCAAAAAAGAGGAGGACTGGCAGTAGTTAGCTCAGGGCTAATCTTCCTCCAAAAAAAAAAAAGAAAAAGTATATCGAATAAAACAAAAGCCATTTCCTACGCCTTCCCTGAACTTCCCTTCTCTGCAACTTTGATCTTAGTTGAATGTCTCTAAGGTACCTCCGCGCCAGTGTGTCTATGATCAGATCCATTACCCTCCATCCCCTTATACACCTGCCCTTCCCATTCATTCCTTGTTGATGGCCTCTGCATTTAACCTGGTTGCTCAGGGAGAATCTGAATCAATCTTGAAGCTTCCCCCTTTCCAGCAACTTATAGGGTGATTGTGAGTTTAAAAGGAGTTAATGAGTATATGGAAAGTACTGTATCAGTGTCTTGTACAGAATAAGTGATCAGTAAAGCTTAGCTGCAATTATAACTAATCAGGCACCAAGACCTAGTGATTCTAGTTCTGATTTATTCCTAGCATTTGCCCCTTCCTCATTCCCCACTGTCTACAAAATTTTAAAGGTGGCTGTGGATACAGACTTGACTGAAAGCCAGGTCCTGGCTGCATGGGATAAGATTGAGGAACACGTTTGAGTCATTAGGGATGATGGTCTGTATGGTTCATGGGGAATTAATTGTAGCTCTTCTGCCAGTGTCAGTCCTCTGTGACCTTGAGCAGCCACTTACCTTAGGCTTCACTCTCAGTAAAATGAGGAAATGCAGTTCAGTTCACCGCCAGGCAGCATACATCATTTGGGCTGTTACTAGATGGCAGGCCCTAGAAAACTGGAGTCCCCCTTTCCCAGCTCTGTGAAAGTTCATAGAGTGGGTCTGTAAGGTCATTTCCACTCCTGACAGTCTAGGGTTTTAAAAATTTTATAGCTATCATTTAAAATAGTGACTATTGTTTTCCCTTTCCTCTCAGAGGAGGATAATCTGAGTGAGTCCTCTTCTGAGAGCTTTCTTTGGAGCGATGAAGAGTATGGCCAAGATGTCGACGTGACCACCAACCCAGACGAGGAAGTCGATGGGGATGACCGCTACGATTTTGAAGTGGTCCGCTGCATCTGTGAGGTCCAGGAGGAAAATGACTTCATGATTCAGGTAGGTAGAGCTGCCAGGAGACAGGTCTAGAGAAACACAAACTGGTCCTTGGAGGGGATTTTGAGAGATAGCAGTTTGAGGCCAGTAAAAATAAGGAGTCCTGTCAGAAGTCCCAGATAGGCGGTATTATCAGCGGCAGATTGAGCTTGGCTTTTTGGTTCAGCTCTGAATCTCAGGCTGGTGTAAATAGCCTATTAACAGAATAAGAGAGGACTTGAAGGATCATTGAGTCTAAACCTCTCATGCTCTGCTTGGGGCAGCTGGGACCCACAAATGGGAAGCGCCTTGCCTGTGGTCACACAGTGAGGAGTTGAACAGCAGGGACCCAAATCTCTGGATGGCAGTTTAACATCATGTGGACCCATACCTTCTCTTCGAGGTAAATTTTCTTTATGGCCCAAAGAAATGGAGGCCAGTTTTATAACTTGTGTTTCTTGTTCTTCATTTTCTGACATTTGTGTCTGTCATCTCCATCTCTGGGATATGCCTGTGGGTTGGGTCTCCCTACTTGCTTGGGGAGACCATCACTGGCCAGCGCCTGCTTGCCTCTGGCCCTTCTCTTACTCTTAATCACAGTTCTGGTGGAGGTAGTTGCTGTCTGGCTGACTCCAGAGGTTGTCATAAATACCCTTCATGTCTGGGCTGGCCAGGGAACATGAGTTTTGTAAGTCATGCTTATATTGGTTAGGGTTCTTTTGGGGATAAATTATAATACTGTTAGGAAAACAGAACGAGTCCTGGCATCTAGGGGTAGAGATGCAGCCAGGCCCTGGAGCCCAGAATTCCATCTTGAGGGGCTTGGTCTACCCCTTTTCCTGCTTTTCCCCGGAGTCCACTTGGTTCTTTTTCTTTGTGCTACAGGCTTGTTTTTATGTTTTTGTATTCAAGAGACTAGCTAGGCTGATGTTAGAATTTCAGTCCCAATTCTAAATTCCTGGAAAAGGAATTGCAGTCTGGTTTAGATCAGATACTAGCCTTTGGAAAGTCACTTGAGGTCAGGGGGCGACGAGGTTCATCATGGTCAAATGCCTGCCCTTGGTCTAGTCATCTGGTCTGGTGGTGGTGGAGGTTGGGAGGTGTGGACAAGGTCACATTGTACAAAAAGGTTGCCTGGGACCTCCCTCTGTTATGATATGGATGGGGTGGGAGTAGGGGTTGTTTCAGAAAAGCGGGTGGCTGTCGACCACCTGGTACTAATCCACATAGTCTGTTGAGCTTATGGGAAAAAGGCCTAGCCTCTTGGCCTGCTGTCTGTGTTAGAATTTTATTTGTTTGTCTTTATAGTGCTACAGGTCAGTGTGGCATTGATTTTTTTGAAATTCACTTTTGGATCTTGACTTAATATACGGTTGGCTTTTATGCCTCTTCTTTGAATTTGTCTTCTTTGTACTCAATAATCTCTCTATTCCTTTGATTTCTGGAAAGATTGAGGCTTTGCCATAGTTTAAACTTTCAGAAGGACCAGAAAATGAGTAGGCCCACTTGCTTTTGTTTTTTATTTCCCAGTGCTGTTTTTTGAAAAAAACACTTTGAAGTAATTATGGGTTCACAGGAGGTTGCAAAGAAATGTACAGGGAAGTCCCATGAACCCCTCCCTCAGACCCGGTTCCGATGTCAACTGCCCACACAACCACAACACAACATCAAAACCAAGAAATTGACATTGGCAAAATCCATAGAGCTTAGTTAGATTTCCCCAGTTATGCATGTGTTCATCTGTGTGTGCATGTAGCTCCATGTAGTTTTGTCACAAGTATAGCCTTATGTAATCACCACCACAATCCATTATTCAAGTGTAGTGTCATCACCAGACTCTAATCATCTTACTCCCTTTATACCACACCTATCTTTTCCTCCCCATCCCTGAACCCTGGAAACCACTAATGTGTTTTCCATCTCTATAATTATGTGCTTTTATGATTGTTGGCTAATGGAATCATGTGGTATGTATCTTTTTGAGAGTGGCTTTTTTTACTCAGTATAATTTCCTTGAGATTCATCCAAGTTGTTCTGTGTTTCGATAGTTCATTCCTTCTTGTTGCTGATGGTACCACAGTAGTGCCCTTTTTATTAATAATCGCAACTGTGTACAGTGGAGTAGTGATTTAAAGTTTCTGGAGTGTTTTCATAAATACCATTTCACCTCCAAGAAGGCTGTCTCCAGTCATTTATTTCTCCCATTTTATAGTTGGGAAAACACAATTACAGAGCCATTAGTGATTTACTTATGGTTGCAGAACTATTAAATAAGTTATCAAGTTATGATCTGAACCCAGAACTCCCAGTCAAGTGCCCTTTCCCTGTACTGCCTTCACTCTGGGATTCGCGTTTACAACTGAGAAGTAAAACCAGAAAATTGGTTTTTGAAACATAATGGCATTATCTAGGCTGGCTGCCCCGCCTCCCCCCTTTACCAATATGTGCGTGTACGCACGCATGTATACACACACCTTAGGTTTAGGGAGTTTTTTCTTTTTGAGTAGCCTTCATGGTAACCTCCGGAAATTCAAGGTGCTTGAATAGTCTCAAGTAGTACCTGATATTTATGACCTTTAGTTTTCTTAGGTCAGTGGTTTTCAAACTTTTTCAGAACCCCTTTTCATTTTGGACTCTTTCACAGAGCCCCAAAATGTATAACAGGTAAAAGCAGTAATTTTGGAAGTTCAAAATGGATAATCTTCACCTTTAAGTTCAGAAATGTGCATGTTTGCCCATTCCCATGAAGTCTGATGTGCAGTCAGGGTTGTGAGTGACAGTTACCAACTTGGAGCACTTCAGTGGCTCAGTTGCTTTTCTTTTTGTGAGACAAGCCTAATGCGTGTGGCCATTGGAGGGGTGACTTTTTCTAAGTAGACTGCTGCTAGTCACTTTGATTAATCAGAGATGGGAAGAAAAGCTGTGTTTCAAGGACAACAGTATGCTGAGCTAGCCTAGCAGTACAGAATTATGTGTAGTCGTGAGCTCTATTGTCTTAACGTTAAGTTTGGAACATGTTTGAATGTGCATTTTTTGTTTCGTTTGATTTTTTAAAATAGTCCCATTTAAAAAAAGACAACCATCGGGGGCTGGCCCCGTGGCCGAGTGGTTAAGTTCGTGCGCTCCGCTGCAGGCGGCCCAGTGTTTCGTTGGTTCAGGTCCTGGGGGCGGACATGGCACTGCTCATCAAACCACGCTGAGGCAGCGTCCTTCATGCCACAACTAGAGGGACCCACAGCTAGGAATATACAACTATGTACCAGGGGGCTTTGGGGAGAAAAAGGAAAAAATAAAATCTTTAAAAAAAAAAAAAAAAGACACCCATCTGTAGAACCTCTGAAGCTCTATGGAATACAATTCGAAAACTGTTGTATAACATGAAAACTATTATTTTTCAATAGAATTTTTTCCTAAGTTTGGCTTTTAAAAGGATGTAGAAGATCGTCAGGTTTTATCCTGTCTTTCTGGGCATGTGCTGAGTTCTGGGCCTTGGAAGCCTGATGTGGTCCTTACTTTCTCATAGTAGTCCTCAGCGGGTGAGTAATGAAGGCCTCTCTTGGCAAGCCTGTTCTGGCTAATCTGTGTACAAGACCTGGTTCTGATCTACCTTAGTACTCATGGGGTGTTTCGGGGGTAGAGCTTGAGGTGCCGTTATGAAGAAACTAAGCTTAGAGCTACTGGGAGGCCGTACCAGCTGTCACATGGCAGAGTCGGGAACCAACTTCCATCTCCTGCTTCGCAGGCTCCACTTGGCCTTCCCCCCAGCTCAGCTCAGCTCAACTTGTGGCTTTCTGTCTGGCATTGTGGGGATGTGAGCTCACTTCAGAACAGCTTGGGTTTTGTTGTAGAAACTTTGCTCTGCTTTTCACTTGAGATAAAAGTGTCCAGCTGGCTTTGAGTTCTATAGGGACAGTTTCTGACTTTCCCTGTCATGAGCAATGCACCTTTTCCACCTAATAACATAGCAGAACTAGAAGGACTTACAACTAGAATATACAACTATGTACTGGGGCTTTGGGGAGAAAAAAAAGGCAGAGGAAGATTGGCAACAAATGTTAGCTCAGGGGGAATCTTTCCCAGAAAAAAAAAGAAATGCAGGGGGCGTGGGCGCTTAGAAAAAAAGAACATTAGGAAACCCATTTGATATTTAAATTATTTTAATTGCTCTAGGGCAGATTTGGGCAAACTTTTTCTTTCAGGACCAGAAAATAAATATTTTAGGCTTTGAGGATGATATGGTCTCTGTTGCAACTACCTAATTCTGCCCCAAGCAGCCGTAGGCAACTTGTAAAATGAATGAGCATGGCTGTGTTCATATAATACTTTATTTACAAAACAGGACCTGAGGTGGATTTGGCCCATGGGCTGTAGTTTGCTGTCCTTGCCCCAGAGCAACAAATGTATATTAGGTACCAAATCCAATGAAAACTATGTAGCAGGGTTTCTTTTTCTCCCTAAAGCTCCAGTTGTATCCTAGTTGTAAATCCTTCTAGTTCTGTGTGGAATGCTGCCACAGCATGGCTTGAGGAACGGTCCGTAGGTCCACGCCCAGGATCTGAACCTGCGAACACCAGGCCGCTGAAGTAGAGCGCGGTATCTTAACCACGTGGCCATGGGGCCAGCCCCCTGTATAACAGTTTTAACAAAAAGCCCATTTTAAAAGTTTTGTTTTAAAATTTAAATTGTTTATTTGCTGTTGGGTAATGCATTCACATAGTTCAGAGTCCAAACAATTCATAAGTATACAGAGAAAAATCTTATCTCCCCCTCAATCCCTCAGTTACCCTTCCCTGGAGGCAACCCTTACCAGCTTCTTGTGTATCATGCCAGAAACATTCTGTGGCTAAACAAGCAATTACAAATATATTCTTCCTATTCTTTTTTGTGTTTGTGTGAGGAAGATTGGCCCTGAGCTGTCTGTTGCCAAGCCTCCTCTTTTTGCTTGAGGAAGATTGTTGCTAACATCTGTCCAATCTTCCTCTATTTTATGTGGGATGCCACCACAGTGTGGGTTGATGAATGGT